TTCCGCCCGCCGAGCCCGAGTCCGAGCCCCGCGCGCCCCGCCCGGCCGGCCGGTGACGTCACGGCGGGGGCGGGGCGGGGGCGGGGCTTGAGGGAGGGCCGGCGGGTGGGCTGCCGAGGGCCGCTGCCCGCGCCCCCGGGGACTGCTGCGGGACCAGGCCCTCGGGTTTCGTTCTTTCCCAGCGGGACACCCTCGTCCCCTGGTTCCCTTTCGGTGGCCGCGGCGGCTGGGACCCTGGGGAGCACAGAGTGCGTTAGGGTTTAGGCGTTCGGCGGGCCTCGGGCCTCTGATCCTCTTAGCTGGCTGACCTGTGTTTGGAAAAACCTCTCTCCTCCCCTTCTGGGTCAGGGGACCCGCTAGCGAGGGATCGGAGGCTGGCTCGGGCTTCTCCACATTGGGGGCGGGGGCGTGGGTAGGGATGCAGGCGGGAAGCAACACGGGGCCTCGTCCCCTTGACCTGGAGCCCCGGATCTTCTCTCCTCGGGGGTGATGCCCGGTTGTGTTCCTCTCACCTTTCCCGAATATATCGCCCTCCTGCCTTCCCCCCACCATGATGTAATTTTATTTTCTGGGGAGGAAAAGAGCAGCAGTGAGCTCAGCATGCAAATATAGACATCTTGCAACGCCGCACTTAGCTCTGTCTCCTAGCTCTGCCTCTCTGCCCAGGCCCAGCACCCGGCGGCCGCTCTCAACTTCCTCTCCACCCCTAGGGACTTTCCTCCCCCAGATTCTCAGCCAGACTGAAAGAGGGAAGGAAGAAGTGGGGAAGCATCTGTCTGCACCCCCATCTCCAGCCTGAGGGCTCTTGCCTCAACTCTGGCAGGGTCTGGCCCTGGGAAGAGGTCCGGGCCCCACCGGTTCCCCTGGCGACCTCTGGCAACGATGGCCCCGGCCTCCCTCGGTTGTGGCCTGGCAGAGCCGCCGGGTCAGGCCTCCGGGACCCCTGCTTTCTTGGTCTACACTGCCCCGGAAAGAGGCTCAGGCTCCTGGCGTCTTGGGTTTTCCATAGGCCTTCTCTCTGCTCTTCAGTGGCCCTCTCCTGGCACCACACTTCCAGAGTGAGACCGCCTCGTAATCTGCCTTTGAGGATATCTCGTTTGTTCTGCGTTATAGGACCGAACATCATTTCACTGACCTGTCGTTAAGACTCAGAGAGACTCAATGGTGTGTCTGTAGTCAGTGACAGGCTCAGATCTTCCCGAGGCAGCAGGCACGGGGGACTGGGGCTCCGTGCTGGCTCCCGTCCTTTCTTGGGTGGTTTATGCCTCTGAGACTCAGTGTCCTCACCGGTGAGATGGGGACGCTGATGCCCGTCTGCCAGGGCTCTTCTGAGGACTGGCACAGAGGGGGGCTTGAAACCTAGAAGCTTCGAGTTAGTGTGGGACCTCCCAGTGACCTGTACTAGATCGTAAGCTCCCTGTTAGAATCGCATCCGCCCAGGGCCCACAGCACGGATTAGACTGAGCATTAAATGGTTACCAGTTGGGTAAAAACACGGTCTCTGCTCTACACTCCTGTGCCTTCCGTAGGAGCATGTCCCGGGTTTGTCTTAGAGGTGACGCTTCGGTAACCTCGTGTCTCCTTCTTCCATACCGAGTGGCCCCCTAGTCTCTCAGCAGCGCCTTTCCACCTGACCCATGACAACTGTCCCATCTGTGAGTTCTGGGCGTGATCAGTAGCTTGGTTCCGCGACTCGATGCCTGGCTCCCTTGCCCATACGCCAGCCTGGGCTGTGCCGGACGGAGTGCGGACCCCTCCAGGCAGGAACCCCGGCAGCCCAGATCCAGGGCCGGGGGAGGATCCTGAGTGTACGAAACGCAATGTCTCCTCTCTATTTGGGACCACGACTCGGGGCCACGCTTCCCCAATTCCACCTTGTCTCTCCTGGTGGCCTCTGAGTGTGAGAGTCCCCTCCCCTCCCCCTGCGCATCCCCCTGGGCACCGCCACAGGACTGAACTCAACCTCTGCCACCCGCCATGCCCACCCATCCTCGCGGCCACCCCTGGAACATCCATCTCTGCTTGTGTCTCTGGTCTCTCCTGTGCCCCCCTGCATGATACACATGAAAAGCACCTGCCCGTGCTTTTCAGGTTTCCCACTGTCTGCAAGGTTCCTTCCCGAACTCCTTGGCCCCGTCGGACCCACTCTTGATCGAAGGCCTAGAAAAATGCTCACTTTATGAAGCGATCAGAGACCCCTGTGACCTCTCTCTTCTGAGCCATCCTGTTCCATTGTTCCTTCTTCCAACAGACGTTTGTTAAGCACCACGTTTTGTGCGCCAGGCCCTGTGGGCACAGGGGCAAGGGGCCCCCGGTCCAGCGGGGGAAGACAGGCGTGTAAATGACGATCTAGGGTAGAACACGCTGAGGACTGGAGTAGGAGCGTAGAGAGCGCGCCGCGTGACCCCAGAGGAGGGAACCGCAGGAGGGGCCGCCTCTGGGAAGGCCTCACCGAGGAGGTGCTATTTGGGCTCAGTCCTGACATTCAAATAAGAGCTGCAGGGGGGGGTGCTATCAAGCAGCCCGTAATCGCTTAATTACTTATTGCTTTGTGTTTGTCTTCAATTGTTTAGTTGCTCGGGCTCGACTTCCCAGGGAGGCTAATCAGCTCGGGAGCAGGGACAGGCCCGGCCCTCCGTCTTCTCCCTGAGCCTGTGAGCAATGCTGGACAAACACCATGTGTTGGGGGGCGGCGGGGTGGGGGTGGAAGCTTGTTGACTAGTAGCAGATAAATAATCCACTCTCCTCTGGGACGACTGCCTGGAGGGAGCCCCCCCTCCTTCTATCAGCGCCCTCACAAGGCACCCACACCTAACACTCCCCCCTCCCACCACCCCGTCCTCCAGCTGCCCCCCTCCTGCCACGGGGTGAGGCCTCCTCAGCAGATACTGGTCTTGCTGCCCCAGATCCTTTATTGAGGCCTCTCATTTGACCCAAATACATTAACAAGAGATGGCTGAGAGACAGCCCCAAACACAGGGCCCGCCCTTCCTCCTGGCCAGGGACAGACCGGTCAGAAGGATGCAGGATTTGAGAGTGTGGGGAAGAGTGTGCGCGGGTGGAGGGAACTGAGGAGGAAAGAGTCCCAGGAAAGATTGTACAGAGTGATGGACGAAACGAATAGCGGGCCCAGGGCCACCGTGGGATAGGACACGAGTCAGCTGAGGCGCCCGGGCTGGCACGTGGGTTAAGAGTGGGATCTGTCCTCGTCCGGTGAGGGTCAGGGGCTCAGCACTCAGCCGGCGGACCCCGGCGCGCCCCAGGGCACAGAGTGACCCGGTGTCCCTGGAGGGGCCCAGGGAGGGACAGGGGAGGCAGAAGAGATCACGAGGAGGAGAGCGGGCGGGCTGGGACACGGCGGCCACAATAACTAGTCATCGTCGTCGTCCTCCTCCTCATCGTCGTCCTCTGTGTTGATCTCGCCCTCCAGCACGTCCTCCAGCCAGTCCTCCAGCTCCTCAGCGGAAGGCAGGTCCTCCTCGTCGTCCATCTCCAGCCACACGCTGTCCGCCTGGGTGAGGCACACACAGGGGACCCGAGCTAAGCCCCACTCAGGTCTTCAGACCTGTCACAGGGCTCCCTGAGTCCTTGCCTACATCCTCCGTCCCTTCCCCGCACCTGTCATGGCCGGGGGCGGGGCGGGGGGGGGTGCTGTTCAGGTGGAGGTCTGGGCTGGGGTAGTGATGGAGAAAGTGGCTTGGCGAGGAGACCTTCTCCCTCAGCCTCTCCAACACACCCGTCGTGCCCTTGATGAGGGACCACTGGTGGCTCCTCGTGGCCAGAGAACAGAGCCAGCAGCCCTTCAGATCAAGGCTTTCCTAACCTGCTTTCCCAGCACCGTCCGTAGAAACCTCTCGACTCTCACGCCACAAGACACAAAACAACGACAACAACAAATGACCTGCCTTTTCCAGAACCTGGTATTCATTTCCCTACTTTTGACTTTGGGCACTAACTTTTCCATCGGTCTGGGGATGGCTTCTCACAACTTCCACGTGGGGGACTCCTATAGGTTGTCCAGGCTCCACTTTAAGTGCCACTCCTTTGAAACCCTTCTCTCGGATTCTCTGCAGCAGAAGCAGCTTTGATTTCTGTGCCTCCCTGGCATTTTATGGGGCCCTTTATGATAGAGTTTACGAGATCCGGGCGCGTAGTTAACAGAGCACCTGCCTCCCCAGTCGGACTGACAATTGAATTAACGAAAAGACTGTGGCTCCACTCAGTTCACCTCCGCGAGCACGTCTGAGGCACCTGCCACGAGGGAGCGAGAAGCTTTCTGCCCTCAAAGGGCGTGGAGTCGGCTGGGAGGGGCAGGCGTAACACACAAAGAGCCACAGAGAAGGCACGTTCTCAATGCCAAGTGGGCGCTGGGAGTGGCGAGGAGGGGTGGGACTCCAAACGGGGGGTCTGGGCATACTTCGTGGAGGAGACGGGCTGTGACCCGGGCCTTGAGGATGAGAAGCCAGTTCCAGCAGGGGCGTGTTCAGGGCCCGAGTCTCTCCCCCTCCCCGCAGCCATGAGCCCGGCCGCGTCTCATTCCTCTGGGCAGGGTTCAATGCCCAGTCAGCAGAGCAGGGGATGTGGGCTGGGCCGGGAAGCAGAGTCAGGGGCCAGCGGGGCACGAGGGAAGGAGACTCACATCAGTAACGTTGACGACTCCTATCTGTGGGGCCGACAGGTCGATGTCAAACGTCTTCTCCCAGTATGGCACCAGCTGTGAAGAGAGCATGTGTGGTTAGTTAACATGAGTCCAGGGAACACACGAGTCCGGGAGGGCGAGCGCGAGGCTCAGTCCAGGGGGAGAGGAAGGTCCCCCTGAACCCATGTGGATGGGGGACAGGCCCAGCCGTAAGGCCCAAAGGGAAGGAGCGGAGGTAAGCAGCGACAGGGAAAAATCCCAGAGGGAAAGAAAGTATCAGGAGGGTCGGCTGGAGACATTGGCCTTTCCTTTCCGAGGAAAACTGCGTGGCAAACCCCTGTTTCCTGAGCCTTGATCTGTTACTGCGTGACCTTGTGACCTTGGGCAAGTCACTCCTCGATGACCCTCAGCTTCTACGCGTCTAAACCTAGGTCATTATCCCTGGTCATTGCCAACGTCCCTCACGTTTCCATTCGTTCACGCTTTCAACAATGACTATTGGGGGGGTGCCTGGGTGGCTCTGTTGGTTAAGCATCAGGCTTCGGCTCAGGTCATGATCTCAGTTTGTGGGTTTGAGCCCCGCGTCGGGCTCCGTGCCGACAGCTCGGAGCCTGGAGCCCGCTTCGGACTCTGCGTCTCCCTCTCTCTCTGCCCTCCCCTGCTCACGCTCTGTCTCTCTCTCTCTCTCTCTGTCTCTCAAGAATAAATAAAAAATGTCAAAAAAAATTTAAAAAACAAGTAAACATTAACGAGCGCTAGGTGTTGGGGATCCCGCTGGGCACAAAGCTGTCCCCTGACAATGGGATCCCTGCGCTTGGACTCTGTGATTGTGTAGACCCACCTGCAGAATAGGGTGTCCATCTGGCCCCCCCCCCCAAAACTCTGGGCGTTTGTAGGAGAAGTCAGCCCTGGGCACACGAGCTACCCGCCTAGCCTCTGCTCTGGGAATCGGGTGCCACGTTCCGTGAGATTCACTTCCCATCCTGCTTCCCCTTCTCAGGGTGCCTTTCCTGCCCGCGGCGCCCTTGAACCTGTACTGGACAAAACCTCCCGAGGTCCTCGAGCCAGGAGTTGGGGCCGGGACCCTGAAGGAAGCTCGTCTCAGAAATGGCCACCGTGAGGCGGGGGGTGGGGGTTAGGAGAGCCTTGCCCCTCACCAGTGGGAAGTCGTCGGGGTCGATCCAGATGATGCTGAGGTCGGGATTATCAGTGTTATCTTGAGCCACGGACTTGAGCGTCTCCAAGAACTCGTAGCCATCTTGTAGGGAACGCAGGGAAGAAGTGTCAGGTGGGGCAGGGGAGAAGGGGACACGGAGGCGGCGGGTGTCTTGACGGCCCCCCACTGCCCGCCACTGCCCGCGGATCCCCAGGAATGCCTCCCGTTGAAGCCTGTTCACTCACAAACACCCGCGTCCCCCTCTCACCGGTGCCCCCCCATCCAATCCTGCATTCCTCCCTCACCAGGATCAGCTTCCTCTGCGAAGGCCACAATGTGAATTCCGTCCATGTCGTCTTCCTGTTAGGGGGAGGGGGGCTTAGCTGTGCTCCCCGAAGTTAGAGAGCCAGACACACCCTACCTCTTCCTTGAACCTGAGTTGGATGGGAATCCAGCTTCTGGATTCAAGGACAGGTACGTCCTTGGGGTGGTGGCCCTGTCCCAAGGGACACGGCTCGCTTCAGCGCCAGGGCCCCCACACCTCTGTTGCAAACCCGCTAGCCCCAGATCTCGGGGCTCCTCCCTCTGTTTTCTTTAACAGCTTTTGTGTGTCTCGTTCGTGGCACGTCCTTCGGAACGAAACCCTCCGCACTCTGCCGGTGCATCGATTTCCTACAAGCGAGGGCACGGCAGGTGGGAATATTCCCGGGGCTTGAGTCCTCAGTCACCCCTGCTCCCCTAGGGGCCCGGCCCCATCCAGGGGACACTCACCCAGGTTTCGTACATGCTCTCGGGCTTCAGCTTCCTCAGGGTGGATCTGGAAGAGACCGTCACTACTCAGTGGGCGAGAAGGATGCCCTCCCAGGGGGCCCTCGCAGCGGAGGCTGCCTCTGGGTCAAGCCTCGGGCACAGCCGGCTTGTAGCCCAGAACAGAGCCATCTGGCAAAGTCTAAGCTCCGGGCACCAGGCCCAGATCGTTGCCTGGTTAAAGCAGGTGGGAGAACCCAGAGTGGGCCAGCGGACTGGGAGAGAAATCTTTGGAAGAAAGGTAAGACCTGGGCGTCTGGGCATCCACTGGTTCACTCATTACAGCTGAGAGTCTCTGAAGTTCTAGGCCCCGGGCCAGGTGCCGTGTCGATGGAGCTGGACGAAGCTGACCGGCCCTGCCCCGGTCTAGTGGGGGGGGGGGGAGTGAGAGTTGGTGGCGTTTACACCGATGAGTGGGTATTTCCAGTTGTGGAGTGCAGGCAGGGCCTCTCGGCGTCAGCACCACTGACATGTGGGACCGGACAATTCTGTCGCGGGGGGCTGTCCTGGGGGCACTGGAGGAGGTCAGGCAGCTACCCGCTTCTACCCAGCAGCGCTCTCCTCAACCGGAAATGTGTCCCATGCGGCCAGTTGTGCCCTGGAGGGCGAAGTCCTCCCCCACCTCACCCCCGTCAAGAACCACTGATGCAGGGCGACGATGAGGAAGGACAGAGCCAGATCTGGGTTAGGATCCCATTCTGACACCCATACCAGTACCCGTGGGGTCTGTTGACCCTGCTCCCCACCTCCTGTGTTCCTCCACGAAGCTGACAATCTCCTCCTCGCTGTTGGGCTTGTCGGGGATGGTCACGGGCTCTTCCATGAAGGCCTCGTAGAAATCAATCTCATTCAGCTTCAGGGTCAGCTTCTTTGCCACCTTTGGGGGAGGGGGTGGGGGGAGTGGAGCAGGGGGATGTGGGTCACGGGGCGAGGCAGTGTCACGGGGAGCAGCCCTTAGAAAGGAGGTCAGACAGCCTGGGCCCTTGTCACTGCCACTGTGACAATGGACAAGTGTCTTGACTGCTCTGGGCTTTGGCTGAACGCTAGAGGGGTGGGTTAGGGAATCTAAAATCTTTGGGGCGCGCGCGAGAGGCCCGAGGTGGGGGTGGGGTGAGGAGTGTCCTGTGTAGGGAGGGACCGTAGGTTCTGGGAGAGAGGTCTGGAGGGCAGCTGTGGGGAGCGAGGGGGACCCCATACGGCCGCGGGGAGGAGAACCTTGCTGTCGAAGGTGGCGAAGAAGGGGATGTAGGGGTGAAACTCCTCCGCGGCGTCCTCATAGGCCTTGTAATCTGAGGGAGTAGCTCGGAGTCAGTCTCTGGGGAGGCCAGGGTCGGCCGGGGAGCCACGTCCCCTCTGTTTCTCCCCAAGGCTCCTTCGGCCAGAGGGGTTCGTTCTGAGACCCCACCCCTCAGTCCTCTGAGAGCAGCTGCACTTTAGCGGGGAAGGTGGAGCGCTGGGGGTGCCCATCTGGGAGCCCCCAGTGCAGGTGGGTCGGAGGGAGGAGGGCATAGAGATGGGGAGACAGTGGGCCGAGTGGGAGTTAGGGGGACAGATAAAACGGGGGTCCAAGGAGGGACACCTGGGAGTTACCCACGCTCTGAATCTTTGTTCTTGAAGTAGCCAATGAGCTTGATCTCGTCCTCAATGTTCTCAAATGCCTGCAGCTCTCGTTCACCCTCGATCAGTTCCACGGGGTCCTCTAGGACCTGGAGGAGCGGGGCCAGCGGCGAGAGTGTGAGTTCTCTCCTCGCTGGAAGGAGGAGGAGAGGGAGGAGGGAGGCAGGGCTGAGAGGGAGGCAGGGGCTGTCCATCACCTGCAAGCGTGTGTGTGTGTGTGTGTGTGTGTGTGTGTGCGCGCGCGCGTGTGTGCGCGCGTGCACATGTGCATGGCTGGACTCGGTCGACGAAGGGTGTCAAGACTTAAAGCCACGCCGTTAGGGGCAGGGGACCCTCACATCGAGTAGAAACTCCACCAGGGTGTCAGCAGAGAACTCGCCATCGTACTCGATGACTTCATCTCCCTTGAACACGTAGATGCTGTCTTCTTCCGTGAGTCCTGGCGAGCCAGAGCCAGAGGTGAGCCCGGCCGCCGGGCTGCCCACTGGTCCAGGGCCCGCGCCAGCGTCCCTGGACCCCACGTCCTCCTCTCCACTCTCCCTTCCCCCGCCCCTCTCCCCTCCCTTCAGACCCCACAGCCCTGGGATCTGTGCCGTTGGCTCTAGTCCAGGTGGCTCTCCAGGGGGTGTGTGGGGGGGGG